TAAAAAATCTATTTTCAATAAAAGAAAAAAGTAGTAGAAAAATAAAAATAAAAGTGATAAAGTGATTGGCTAGAACTTCTTCTCTTTGGTAAAAAATAAATTATCAGAGAATGTAACACAGCAACCGATATTCTCTAAAAGCAAAGGTTAAGGTACCTTCGTTTTGTATTGTATTTTACAATTTACTTTCAACAGTAAATACTCCATTTTTAAGAAATTATCCTATAACAAATATTTCTTAAATTATTCATTTAAGAAAGCAGTTATTCACTAATTACCATATTTAAGTTATAAGGAATTTAAGGTCATTGCCAAGCTGAGCAAATGAGTACAAAAGGAGTGTCAGTAAGGTCAGAAGAGGAAGACTGAGACTGCATGCTCAAGTGTCAGAAGACATTAGATATGTCCCATTAGAACGCAGTTAACATGGGGGTCTGGATGCTGAAATTCTATTAAATGACACAAAGGTACAATCTATCAAAAACAAGAGCAGCAGGGATCTAACGGAGCCAGAATATCTCAACTTCTTGCGTGAATGAGAAAGAAGATAAAAGGCTGATAACTGATGAATCAGTAGAGAAAGCATAATCTGCTGCCGCCTGGAAGAGAACAAGGAAGAAGGTGCCAGGGGAGCCACACCATCATGAACTCCAGCTTCACAAGTCTGAGCCATGTCTGGGGAAACTAAAACCAATGTAGTCACAGTCAGCTCTTCTCTTATTCTTACACAGCACGAGAAAAAAAAAATCCAAAGAAAATAGGAACAGCTGAGGAAGCACCAGATAGGATTTAAAAACTTGTACTTATATTTTAACAATGATTCAGGGATGTGGCTACTACAGGAAAAGAAAATCATCTACATGGAAAAAGAAAGCTCAATGAATAAAGAAAGTTCTTAGCTATTGGAGAAATACTGCTTTAAAAAAACTCAACACAAAAATAAAAAGGATTCCAGAAGCACTCTCAGAAAAACAATAACGAAAAGGCATAGAGCTGGGGACATGGCTCAGTAGATAAGGGGCCTCCTGGCAAGCATGCAGCCTATGCGGTGTCTGAGTTCAGTTTACCAGCATCTAGCTAAAAAACAAAAACAAAAACCAACCAACCAACCAAAAACAAACAAACAAACCCCGATATAGCAACTTGCTTGTATTCCTTGTACTGGGATAAAAAAAAAAAAAAAAAAAAAAAAAAAAAAAAAGGAAGACTATTGGGGCTTGCTAGCCAGATATTCTGTATTCTGTCCAATTACTGACCTCCTGGCCTACTCAGAGATGCTGTGTCAAAAAAAAAAATAAGGTAGAGAAGCCATTGAGAAAGACACCTAATATCAACCTCTGGCCTCCACATGCATGTACACATGTGCCCAGACCTCCCCCCCCACACACACACCACCACCACCAACAAACCAGATAGGACCCATTCTGGTCCCCAAGGAACATCTGTCCTTACTAATGACAGACAAGAAAAATATTTGGGAAAATAGAAGTTACATAAAGATTCATCCTACAAACTGTAATTTCTGACTAGGCAGTGCCAGGTGTTTGTGCGGGGGTAGGGAGGGGAGGAACATGAAGAAAATCAAGAAGAGAAAATTATCAAACAAGTCACAAAAGAGGACTTCCCAGAACCATCCTTACACTGTAAGTCATCTGGTTCTGTCATTTTTTCTATTATATTTGACATTAACTATTTTTCTTTCAAAACAAAAAGTAAAAAGCAAAGGCTACTAAATATCTATATCCCATAGTCAACCTCTCTCTAGACAAGAGGAAGAACACAGCTTCTGTCAATTTCCAGTGCTATATTCTGTTAGGACAAACCATCCCTGGTCCATTACAGACAGAAGAGCAAGGCTCTATTGTAAGTGGGCTAGACATAAAGGTTATCATTTGGGCCATAAGGCTGTCACCAAACAGGGACAAGCTTTCAAAGAGATATCCTATCACTAGGCAATTATAGAAGACTTACAGGAAAGCATTCGTTAATGTTTAGTAAAAACTGTGGGGCAAAATACAAACACTTTCAAAGTGTAAGACTTTGAATGGATCTGCCATTTGGAAATGTCTTAAAGAAACATTCCACCAAAATGGAGAAATGGGAAGAAACTTCATATCTAGAAAGAAACAGTACCAAATCAAAAGAGAGGAAAAAAATAGATCCTTAAATATGATTCTATAAAAAAAGATGCCAATTTGTATCTTTTAATAGGCTTCAATAAAAAATTCTTGAACACAATTCATAAGTTACTGGTTTCAGAAAAAGGAGGTTACACCATAGTAAATTAGAAGAGAATCCCATTACACTTCAATACTAGAATACAAAAGAGACATCATACAACCAACTTTTTTTTGTTTGTTTGTTTGTTTTTGAGACAAGGTTTCTCTATAGAGCCTGTCCTGTAACTAGTTCTTGTAGACCAGGCAGAACTCCAACTCACAGAGATTCACCTGCCTCTCTGCCTCCTGAGTGCTCGGATTAAAGGTGAGTGCCACCACCACCCGACAAATAGTTTCAGATACCTATATGAGACTCACAGGTACCTAACAACTAAAGGGATATGATGGATTGATACATGACTTCAACAAAACAGAAAACTTGTAATGCTAACCTTCCTGGAGTTTATAATCCTAGGACTTTGCTACTTCAACAGATTGAATTATTTTCAAAATGAAGCTCACCCTAGAAAAACATGGCTCTCATACTTGAAGGGAAAAGTCTATAAAAACAAAGACATATGTAACACAAGCGAGAAACCTGTTAGGAATAAACAACTGAAACAGCAGGAAGTCCTGGCGCTTCAATACTGCATTAACATTCAAAAGCTTAAAGTGCAGTTCTTTTGCTTATAGGAAGTTGTGGAAATTATAGCCCTTTCTAAGTTAGTTTTTTTCTATAATTCCTCAATTATTCATTAGAATATGTGAGACCTCTACTGAAATCTTTGTACCAGTGTTTCACAAATGGATTTAACTTTAAAAGCTTAGCTATACAATTTCTTTCATAAAAGTAATAGATTTCTGATATTGATGTCTTTAAAATATCCTATAGTAAAATTAATATTTTTACATAGGAAAAGAAGAAACTATTTAGTCCCAGACAACTTGATAACAACTCTTTCAACTATAGTTATAATTATCATGTATGAAATTCCAAAGCAGAAGTTGTCAAGATTTAACATTAGCATTAATTTATGTCATAATTGATGGTTACTATCAAGATAATGGCAAAGCATCCATTTCTCCAAAGACAGCATGGAGAGAAAGGGGATTTCTTCTTAATTATTACTAATCTGCTCACTTTTAATTAAACTGATCAGTAATTTATTATCATTCCCTTTCCTGGATGGTTGTTATTATCATAGGATTTCTTCAAAGTTACCACATTTGTGATTTTTAAGCAACCCAATTATTTCTAGTGCAGGTTCCATCATTTCGTAATATTGTTTTATACTGAAATGCCAATATCCAGTTTCAGTGTAGTCTGGAAAAACAAATGTGAAAAGACAAAATCTGGATCTCATCTTTACATCTCCAACCTTTCTAGAGAGACAATCACGGAGAGCAGAAGTCTTTTCCTTCCTCCTTGTTATGCAATCACAGTAGTTACAATGAGCATGCAGCTCCCAACGCCAGCCTCTGCAAAGTCTCCACTTCATATGCTGTCAAACTAAACAGCACGCTGCAAAACAACAGCTCCTGTGCTTCTTTTGAAGATAAAAAAGTTCTGACATACAAAATAGGAATTGTTTTCATTAAGCTACTTTAAATGTACTTGGCTATCTGGTATTTTTCTTAATCAAAACTGTTAACCAATATAAAATTTTGATTAATATTATAAATTTTCAATTAAGAAATGTTCATTACATAACTTGGGAGAGGGATGAACTAAGAGTGAAAACATGCAATGGTACAGGAAAGGACGGAACTCTTTTTCTTTCCCCTGTGAAAGTAGTGAGATATTCAGAACACACTGCTTGAGTCCTCCATCAGTATGCCTTATGTGAACTGAATATGTACAGTGGCTGAAGAAACATTTGTTTTAGGAAGAATGCTGAAGTATCCTCAATAACTGATGAGCATGCAAGGATGATCGTTACTATCATCTCCTTCTCCATTCACTGAGTGAGGTATCTAGTAGATAGATGAGCCCACATTTCTCTCCAAGATTTTCTGTGCTGGAACTATTTTTGAATGAATGACGGACAACAACAAAAAATACATATAATGCCTTATTAATTCCTAATTCTGACAAATTTACTGAAAGCTCAGCTCTGACTTCCTTCCTTCTGGCCTCCAGTCTGTGTAACCTTATGGGAGACGTCTCACTGGCCATCGCAGCCAGTACATCCCTGGCTATCTCAGGCCATCGGTTGCTGTCTCCTTGGCCTCCCTTCACTCCTTCTCATAGTACCCTTCCACAACGGCCATGTTGTCTGTTCCTTGTCTTACTCTTGCAACTAGAAACTCTAATCTAATAAAGAAATGGGACGCATCAATTTGTTTAGTAGGGATTTAAAATCTGTTAAAGAAAAAGATTGACTGCTATTGTTTTTCAATACCCTGAAGGAAAAGAAATATCATTTGATGAGGGTGCTTGAGAGATGGCTAAGCAGTTAAAGGCGCTGGGATCCAGCACTCACATGGAGGTTTATAACCATCTGTAAGTCTTGGTTCAGGAAATCAAATTCCCTTTTCTGGCCTCTGTAGGTACCAGATATACATATGTTACACAAACATATATACAGGCAAAACACACATACAATATGTTGAAAAAAATCATGTGATAGGCCTAGATGCAAATCTATACTTAAAGTCTTACTTTTCCATAGTCTAACATAAAGATATACCAGCAAATTTTTGTTACCTTCCACCTAAAAGATAAAAATATCCTTTCAAAAAAATAGCTGGGCTATGAATAGATACAAACTATTTAATATTAAATAACTCAATAAATGAAAGTTACAAATTTCAAAAGGGATAGTTAGTCACTCTGCATACCTTAACGAGTTTCAATAGTTCATAGAGATCCTCAACCTCATCACCTTCCCGTGTGGTATACATTTTTCCTGTCTCCAAGCTCCTTCCTCTTATGGTTCTGCGGTACAGGGGAAGAGCCATTGCTTCTGCATACAGGTCAATGGCATGGTGACCCACTGTCTGATACATGTAGCTATCCAATTCATCTGACTCCACTGTAATAGTTAAATAGAAATAATTAGTAAGACAAAGTAAAAACAAATAGGCTTTAGGAAGCAACTTTTTTCATTTGAAGACTAGTCAACACTAAGCTTGAAGTGTACCGTATCTCCCCACAGTTATAGTGAGATAATACATGGACACTACACATTTGTCTCAGCTAAATTCAGTTCAGCTCAGCTCTAATCATCGGGGTTTCTAATTAGTAACAGGATTACATTTATATTTTTAAAATTATATACAATTCTTAAATATAAGAGTAATGAACCCAACAAATTTTTAATTAGTTTATTCAATGAGAAATTAAATTACATAAGTTTATCCAAATCATTCAGGTTATTCAAAAAATCATCTAGACTTTTAATAAAATTTTCTCTTAAATAAATACCTGCTTAGTAAGTAAAACATATTTGGCAGAAAAAAACAGATATACTTGCTATGTTTTATAATAAATACATCAACAAAACATATACATATAATTCACAATTTGTTAGAGCAATTACCAACATATTTTGGAAACAGGATAAGTGAATCTATTGCATGATATAATCACCAGTTGTCTCAAATTTTCACACATATTGTTATGGGTAAAGCATTCATTACAGCATTATTTGTAATAGATTAGAAACTATATTATAGTTATGTGATAAAATGATAGGCAGTCTTTGATGCATCTTCTTTTTTTTTTTTTTTGGTTTTTCGAGACAGGGTTTCTCTGTGGTTTTGGAGCCTGTCCTGGAACTAGCTCTTGTAGACCAGGCTGGTCTCNGGTGTTTGTATGTGCACGCGTACATGCATGCACTCAAGAGAACAACTTTAAGAGTCAGATGTCTTATTAAAGGTTTAAGATAGTTTTTTTTTTTTCTTTTTGGTTTTTCGAGACAGGGTTTCTCTGTGGTTTTGGAGCCTGTCCTGGAACTAGCTCTTGTAGACCAGGCTGGTCTCGAACTCAGAGAGATCCACCTGCCTCTGCCTCCCAAGTGCTAGGATTAAAGGTGTGCACCACCACCGCCCGGCCTTTAATGCATCTTCTAAAGTCTATTCTCCAGAATACAAATCCCATAAAATATTAATATTTAAAACAGGGAAAGAGATTACATGTCAAATATGTTTTAAAAGTATGTAGGTAAATAAGTCTAAATAGATGAGTTTGTTGAAATTTTTCACAGACTAATATGCTCTGCGTTCCTCCAGAGTATGAATTACCTCTCAAAATGATCTCATCCCGTTTACATTTCATACAGAGAAGATATGGGAGAAATGATACTGAAACTAGTGTTTAGTGCCATTGAAACTGTTTAGTTGTGACAGACACGTATGTACACGCATGTTTTCAAATGTGGAAGGGAATGACTAACAGTGTAAATGTCTTTCAACAACTAGGAGTATCATCATGTGACATCTCATTTTGGCTTGACCCCCACAGCTGTGTGGCTTCCTACAAAACAATATTCACACATTCCTGTAAGTCTAGTCCTTACCCTAAACTTCGAAACAGAGATTTAGTCAGCTCACCCTAAAACTTTTCAGTCTTCCATCCTACCAAGTTAACGAGTCTTTAATGTGCTTTTACTAAAGAATATTGGTCAATCAATTTATTCCACAAAACGAGCTTCATAGCAAGAAGCATCCTGAATTAGTACGACTACTAGGCATTGTAATGACTTCAAAACCCAATCTGTTTTCGTTAGGGCTCCATGTAGTCCTTACCACAACAGCCTCCTGAGTGGAAGCTTCACAGCAGCTACTGGTGTGAGAGCAAAGAAAACCAAAGCCTCCACTGTGGCCTAAAGCACTTGCATTAGCACACCACAAAACCTCCTACTACAGACTGAAAGGGATGGCTCTGGGAATTTTATGACAACTGCACACTATCCCCATTACCCACTGTAAACCCATACTGTGAAAAGCATGATATGTTGCGAATATATTATACCCAGCTTTGCTCTTCAATGGAGCCATGCATTTCTCAGTGAGGTTCCTTTCAGACCATTTAAAGAGTACCAAACAAACCAAAAAAAAAAAAAAATCATTCGGTGACTCATTCAACAGTTCCAACATCCTGCTGACTTTAATCGATACTACCAAACCCTGTCCATTGTTGACCCACAACAACCTACTCTCTTCTACACTGATTACTCGGGGTAAATTGATAGTCCCAGCTTTTTAATTCATAATGTTTATAATACATTTATCATTGTATTTTTCCATCATTAACAATATTCTAATAAAGGCCTCTATTCTATTAATAAGTGCAAAAGATATACTTGCTTGTCGTTTCACTGTTCTGTCAGCAAAATCAACACATGGAAGATTATACAACAATGATCTTTTACACAATAAATAGCTCAGGTTGAAAGATGGACACAACAGAAATTCAAGGGAGGGAAATCACTTCAGAGACTTCTCATGCTTTAAGTTAGATTTACCCCCCATCGTTTGTAAGCGTGTTTCCCTTCTTCTTATGAAATACTCCCAATTTCCATCTTCCCATATCACTTTCAGAATTATTCAAATATCCCCCAGAAGTAAACTGGCTAATTTGAATGAGTTCAGTACTCACTGGTCCGCCAATAAGCACCTACTAGAGGTACAGAGCTTCCAAGAGCTGGGTGGCATTCAAAGGAAAGTCTAAGATACTACACCTCCTCCCAGGAGGCTCATCATCTATGGTGAGTACAAAGGGAAGGCTTACAGGCTTCCCTACATCTAAAATAGTGGAGGGCACCTTCGGACCAGTGGCACTCATACATTGTAAACTAAGACCCAGTGAGGCAACAGACTATTTCTTACCAACCTGCAATAATGAAGTAGAGCTGCAGTCATCTAGAGAAAGGACCAAAAAAGTCAGATCCTTACCTTGGCTTTCATCTGGTCTTAGATTTGCTAAGGCAACAATGCGATGCCCTGCGGCAATGCACTGCATCATGTTGTAACAGCTGTCCTTCCCGCCGCTGAGAAACAAGCCAGGAGAGAGAAGCGTGTGAATGTCAGGCTCCTGATCACCATTAAACACAGACTCACTGGACATCAAAATCGGTCACATCACTACTTTGCTTTTCAGGCTCCATGAGGGACTGTACCACAATTACAGTATAAGAAGGCACACATTTGTAAATAGGAAGAAAACTGAGCACACAAATCTGAATGTCTAAGGCTGCTACTTCTAGGAACTTAGAAAATTACATGCATCTACAATACAGAAGTTCGAATCAAAGTATATTTGTAACAGTGGTTTTACATAAGATAAAAAGTGCTATGCACATAAAAACTTATTTAAAATGATATTCTATATCCTAGCTAAATGCTTATACCATATCTTCCTTGGATGAAAGTCCTTAATTAAAAAAAAAAATCTGTGTGTGTGGGGGGCGCAGAGATTGTTTGGTGGTCAGACTACTGGCTGCTCTTTCAGAAGACCTGGCTTTAATCCCAAACACGCACATGAATGCTCACAACTATCTGTAACTCCAGTTCCAGGGGATCCAATAAGCACCAGGTCAGCAAGTGGTGTGTAAAACACCCATAAACATAAAGTAAAGCATTATTTAATCTGTTCCAACTACATAAAACCTATTGTCTACCAATACCAATCAAAGAATGATATTAAAAATTTCAATCCAAACTGTGTAATAGAGCCTGATATGATTGATTCTAAAGTCTATACAATGAAAATACAAATGCTGACACATATCAATAGTGAAACATTAGTATAATCAGTATGTCAGCCATCACTGCCTAGTCAGTTTCATTGTAGGTCTCCTCAAGAGGGACACAATGCAAAGGACAAAGGAGCGTTTAAGAAATCCAGGATCCTTCCTTTCAGATATGCTCCTAAGCAGGTCTTTATAACTTTCTCTCTCAGAACCTATTACTATGCTGCCCCCAAACAAGAAAAAAAAACATTGTATAATAGATTGAGGATTCAAGGGGAAACACCCACATTCATTACTTAGCTTTATGGCTTAAAATATGTCAACTGTTTAGATATGATTTCAAAGTATTTCCGAAGCTATGTTCTGCAGAACACAGAGTATTCAAAGAACAAACAGCTTTCAAGGGCAAAGAATCTTATGAATGCTGACAACTTTATTCGCTAAGGTAGCTAAGTACAGTCAGCCCTTCTGCCAACCTTCCATAGGTGCAGTAGGGTTCACACCTATGAATTCAGCCAATTGTAAATCAAAAATATTTTAGGGGCAGACACCTCTAACAATAATCTACTGAACATGTAGCTTATTTTATTGTTAATTCACTAAAAGGTGTAACGTAATGGCTAGTAACATAGAATTTATTCTATAGGTATCACATCATCTAAAGATAGTTTAAAGCATATGGTGGATGAATATAGGTTCATAAAATGATGCACAAATCATTGTATACAAAGGACTTTGCAACTGAAGATTTGGGTTTCCCTGGGGATCCTGGAAGCAATCTTCCATAAATACCTGGGCACACTGTGTAAGTCATGCAAAACAGATTTGTTGTTGTTGTTTTTTGAGAAAGGGTTCAGATACAAGTTTAGCTACAATGTATTTAGGTTTATATGCTTCAATATACATTGAAAATATCCTGCCTAGATAAATCTTCAAGTTTACATTCAACAGTGAAATTCTGAGAGGTACTTAAGTCCTTGAACTAATGATATGTATGAATGTATTCCATTTTGTCTTAAAATATACTTATACCAAATCTGCTGTTGTACACACATTCACAATACATGAGCACACACACAATACAACTATTTATCACAATGAAGCTTAAATGTATATTTACATTACATATAAATATATATTTAAATATATAAATTCACATGTTATACACACACACCATGAAATATACAACACACAAAAATAGGTATATTTACTCTGTGGATTCTTCTAGCATACAGTCCTTTAAAATGTGGCAAATTTTCAAATAGCACTTCATTATTCTGAAACTTATTACCAATGTAAGATACCTGCATACTGAGTATTTTGAGAACAGACCATACTAACCATTCCTCCTCTCCAGTTTCACTTGTTCTATCAGTTGAGCTTTTTGTGAACTAAATTCCAATCACTAGCCTCCTGGCCTACTTTTATCTTTTATCTCTCCTCACCAAATAATCATAATAGTTAAAACTTTATGGAGAAAATTTATTAAATTACAGTGGCATTACAGTATAATTTCCTTAAAAAGGCATGGTATTAACTGGCATTTTTTTTTTCCTGTCACTAAAGAAGCACTGAACTGTGGCTCATCAAAAGTCTGATAAAACACAATTGACTAACACCATTTACCTTGGCATTAAACAAGGCTCTCTAAGTATGCTTCATTGTGGTAACAAGAAAGCCTGAAGCAATATAATGGAACCTACACTTCACTGGGGTCTGTATCTCAAGAAACAAAAATATTTAAGGGTTTCAAACGTTGCCTCTAACATTGCTAGTATTTTCATTATCATTTTCAGGTATAGAAACTGAAACACATCTGGCTGGGTTTGCTTATCAGTTACAGTATCTAGACTTGTCATTTACTATGGATTTCAAACTACTTTTAGAATAATCCTTTGGTTGCCAAAGGTCGATAAGGCAAATTCTTTGCATCCAGTACAAGTTCAGACACCTCTAGCCTAAACCAGCAGAGTCTCAGCTCCACCCAGAGGGAATATTACTCGTTAGTAGGTTGTTCCAATGCAGGTGTTTAACTCATATAAGCAATCCTAAGCTATTTAAGGATCCTGAGGCCATCCCTGCCAAGCTCGGGATGTGGGAAGTGAGATGAGAACGAGTTAGATTTTATAAGGGAGATCAGGCCAGTGAGAGCCTAGGAAAGATCTCTCAGACAGACGGAAAACACAGAGGATGAAAACTGGAAACAAGTCAGTGACATTAACAGCGGGTCTCAGAGTTCAGAGCATTTAAAAGTCCAACAGGTGTGCTGAGCATGCGCCCAGGGCTGAGGACCCAGGCAGCAGCGCAGAGCAGCTTTGCCAAGGCAGCCAGGGAGCAAGCGCGCGGGCCGGGGACAGTCGGAGCAGATCGTCCCGCCTCTTCCGGTGGCCGGGGCGCAAGCCCGCCCACGCGGCTCCCCCCAAGCCATTCCCGAGGTGCCTACAGCGGCCAAGTCAGGGCCTAGCCTTGCCCCGGGAGGAGGGAGATGGACCCCCTTCCTCGTTACCTGATCAGGGCCGCGACCCTCATGCTGGGTGCAGTGCGCGTGCGTGCGGCAGGCGCGGACGCCAGGCCCCGGCCCCCGTAGCGGATCCAGTGACGCGCGCGGGTCCTCGCCCGGGTGTCTGCTGCGCTGCCTGTCCGCGATCATCCTACTGCCCCTTCAGCACCTTGCTGAACAAACGGGCGTCCAGGGTAGGTAGTCTCAGCACCTGTTACCCGCTACATGGATGTACTGGCCAAGGGGGAGAAAAAAAAAAAGTTTAGGCACAGCCTAACCACCTAAGTAAGGGCAGTGAAGCTGCCGGGGAAAGGGCGCGGTCCTTATTAAACTGCTTTAGGGTCTGGGTTTGACTGCAACGTAAGTCAAGTCACAAACGCTGAGTTTTGAAACACTGCCCCGGGAAGGGAACTTAGACGCTCTCGTTTCTTGAAGAAACCATTAATACCTGAACACTTTTAACTTTGAGACTTCCATCTGTGTCCTGTGAACCAGTGAGGCTGCGTGGTCTAGGCCTCCTGTACTGTATTTAGCATTTTCCTAGTACAAATACTAAGAAACTTGCACTCCATTAGCCAGAAAGAAAATCTAATCTCCAATACATTGTTCAGTACTTACTCAGTGTCATGGACGTACTAATAATCACTGGGGCTCCTGGAATCAAATGGTGCTGCCCAGATCAACCTCCCTACATCCCTGAGCACAGAGTTTGTGCAGAGCTGAAGAACGCAGGTGATACACTGTACAGTTTCAAAGGGGAGTCCTATGTTAAAACGTGGAAAATATTGGACAGTCACACACAGACACACACGCGAGAGAGAAGAGAGGAGAGGCGAGAGAGACACAGAGAGAAATCTAGTGAATTCCCCGAATCCATTTTCTCAATGCAGCCATGTGACTAAATGTCCCTTTCTGATTTTGACTTTAACTTGCCTCTTTTAATTGGATTTTAATTAAAGACTGGTGGAAGGACTTGGCTCGGGGCACAGGTTGTGATCCTCAAGTTTGTAGCAGAAGAACAAAGCAGATTACTGTATCTGGAGAAGACTGACGGGGAGAGTAATGGAAGATGAAGTCAGGTGGTTTACCAAGGTCAACCAGATTTTAGAGGCTTCCCCACAGTCTTCCTACCACACCTTTATATTATCCTTTGCATTGTCCTTTTAACCCCTTGAGATTTCTTTCTCAACGTTCTGTCAGCCAATGAACTTTCCCGGTTGATCTAATACTCCGGTGCTTCATATATTGTCTCTTCTTAGAAACCTTTATTCTAAGCCCAAGTTGTCCATTACAAGAACCGCAAAGTGAGCTACAGCAGCTTAGCTGTAGTATCTCATCTGTACTCTTAGAGAACCAACCGGTCAGGGAACGTTTGATCTGGTGTAGTCTTTGTAGTGGACCTCACAGTGCCCAGAGAATCTGAAACCCTTCATCAGAATGGCGGTGACATAGCTGCTCCATGGTGTCTGCAATCTTGTCTAGAACATAAACATGGAAGCTAACTGGAGAAATGACAGCCCTTGACATGCAGTGAACCTCAGTCCTCACTGGTGTGCGCACTGCTCTCTGTCCACTCCATATTCCCATAAATCTCAGCAACCACATAAGCATGTATTTCTTACTGCTTTCCCTGTCGTTCCTAATGGGTTGCAGTCATTGCGCATTAGATTCTTTGCCATCTGGATCAGCTGCATGTGTCATTTCACAGGTACAATTGGACAAGGGAACCCAAGTGCATCACCTGCATCCAATAGGTGCGTGACCTTATCCCCAGTGCATAGAGAAACCTCCTTCCTCCACATGATCCATTACTCTAGTCTGAAGGTCCTTGCATACAGGGTGCTTAAAGTTTTGACTATGTAATTTGAAGTAAAATGAAACCTTGCTCAGCCTGTTTTGAAGATCAAGACCTAGAAATATTTTTTGGCTAAATTTGTGAGAGGCAAGGAACAAAATTCCCCAATAAGCCCTTGGCAATCATTATTTTCAACCCTTGGTTCCCAGATACGTGTTTTCCTCCTAGTGAGTGTCATATATAGAGATCTCTGGTTTCTCACTATGCCTGTGTCCTCAGACATGACCACCCAGCCTGGCAGATTCCTGTCAGAGCTACTGATTTATATGAGTGACTTCAGTTGACCTAAACAGCACACTGTGTAATACTTAGGTACTGTGCACCTGGCCCAATTCTGTACTTACTTTTTTGTGAAGCAAGGTTTATTTGTGTGTGTGTGTGTGTGTTCTCTTCTCAGTGGAATTCCATGCCTATAATGGAACGCTACCAATGTTTTAGGTTTATTAATGCCTGGTCAAAGGTTAGGAGAAGCTTAAAAATTTGACCTGGATGAGCTCTGTGATGAATCCAAAGGTTGTTGTCTAGTGGTTATCACCTGTGGTTTTAATAACTGATGTTAAAATAGCTCTTGAGTTCGTCCCTTCCATGTCTGCCACAGTGAAGCAGAATGACTCCCCAAACCCCATGAGAAGGAGCAGGAAATTTAGACTCTCACATTGTGCTCTGTTCCAGCAAGAAACGTAGAGAGAAGAGTTTATTCAAACCAAGAATAGTATGTGAAGGAGAGCCAACCCAAATTTGTGAGAGTCTAACTCAAAAACAACAGTATTTTCAAGGAAATGCTTTAGTTTACTCCCAAACACATGCACTAATGTTGATCAAACTAACGTACTAATGGTGGATCCTGGCAAAATGTTTCTTAAAACTCTCCTAAGTTAATAGCGGAAACTTATTTTTAACTACTATCCATTTGCCTACACATAATTTGCTCAAATTTCAAGAACATTTGATTTAGCAAGAACCCTATATGCATAGCTTTCCACGCAGATGTCATATAGATGACTTTAACCCAGTAAATGGCAACAAGTTAAAAGGTTTCCTTTCAGTATAGCCGATTTTATTTTGTAACTCACTGAGCTGTTTTCCCCGAGATCCACCTTTCAAATGCACTGTGAGCTTGTGTTCTGCACTCTAAAGCTATTACATACAAATGAATACTGCCTCGCTCGGAGGGCCAACAAGCCAGGTGAACAGAAAACTTGCCTCCGAAAGCTCAGTCCTTTGCCAGTTTCCGTAAGGAAACTCTCCACAGCCAAACACTGTTGCCGGTAATAAAAGCTTGCAAGCTGTCACTGAATTCTGCTGCCTTGGCAGTATGTTTCACTGATGCACTGATTGATAAAGACTCTGATAATCACGTCAAGAGATGCTACAGGTAGTTATTCCTCAGCAGCCCAGAAAAGTGGTATCCCCCCTGAAATATCAAACAGGAAGCCATCAGAATACCACAGGGCTACTTATTTTTAAGACGACAGTAATAGGTTGGAGGCAGAGCACTAGCCTAGCATGAACAAGAACTGGAGCATCCAAGAGAAAGGAAATAATTATGTGAACTTTACATACACATGGGAGTGTATGTAATTATATTATCTATTATATTACATATGCATATATATATACATAAACATATGTGTTATAGTTTACTGTGGGCCTGTAACTCATTGAAACCTCACAGCACATGTATGGGCTAAGAGTTACTGTGCTCTTTACTTATAAGTGAAAAAGTTGCACAGCCTTGTATAAATCCTGCAGATAATAAGTGTAAAAACAAGATCTAAATCCAGATGGGATAGCCCTTGACTACCATACTATAATTTTCCATTCAAATGGGCAGCTGGTTAGTTGTCTAAAATACCTACATGTTCTGAGAGATACATGTGGAAATATGATTTCTTCGTTGACCTTCAGAATCTTTCCAAATAAGCAACGCTTTTGGGTGATAGACATAGATTTTTATATTATGTTAACTGATGTGTTATATTAGATTGCATGTGATACCTACCAGGCACTAAACATAGCTAACTCTAGGATAGACAAGTCTCAAGCTTTTACCTCATCCACAGATGTGCATAGCTTAGGAAGGGACCTGAGGTCTCATTCCTAGGCAAGCAGACCCACAGTTGCACTAGGGGATTTAGTGGATTGGCATACATGACATGGTCTAGGTAGGCCAACAGTGACCGTCTTCACAGAAAAGAGGCCAAGAACCTATAGCTGCAAATTTCACTAGTAGGATGTCACAGCAATACCAATCTGAAGCTGAAGACCTGTAGAATTCCTAGAGACTTACCAGTCAGTGTTCCCCATTGGGAGGCCAAAGTAGCTGCGTTCTGATGTCAGTGGAGAGTGAAGACAGGTGCAGCATAGACAGTATGGACCTGTGCCTTGGGAAGTATCTATCGTGTCCCAACATGAAGAAAAGAAGAAAAGTGTAACTGTTATTTACCATTGGAAGATCATTAAAAAATCAAACTCCTGCATTGTTGCTATTCATGAAGGGGAAGAAATGATGATTGAGGAAATATTTCTAATCTTGGGAAATAAATGGATGCCAATGACTGTAGAACTCCAAACAGACATGAACAGAGAGGATCCTCAGCAAAACTTTTTAGTCCGAATCTTAAAAGTGCACGGGAATGAATTCTTTAATATATTAGAGAAACATACTAAGTGAAGTTTAAGGAAAATCCCTTTAGACTAATAGCAGATTTCTAAGAAGAAATTTTACGGACTTAGACAACATGGAAGTGTGTTTTTCAAATCCTGAAGAAAGAGCCAATCTGAAAACCATTATTAGTGCACCTAACAAGGTTATAATTTGTAGTTGAAGGGCGCGTACACACATGCACGTGCATGAGCACACACGTACACATACACATACACAAAATCTTGGAAATTAGCCAGACGGTGGTGGTGCACACCTTTAATTCCAGCACTTGGGAGGCAGAGACAGGGGGATCTCTGTGAGTTTGAGACTAGTGTGGTCTACAGAGCTAGTTCCAGGAGAGCTACGGCTGTTACACAGAGAAACCCTGTTTCGAAAAACCAAATGAATGAATGAATGAATGAACAAGTAATAAATCTTCCAAAGTGTAAGGGGAATCTCTGATTACTATATCACTCCGCAAAAGATACTTAAGGGAATTCTCTACCTAGAAGCTGAAGAAAGACAATTACCATCAAGATGACATGCGAAAACATAAAACCCACGAGAAGAATAAACATGATGAGGATGGATGGGTCTGGGCTTAATATTTCCAGATTTGGGGCTTCCTAGTTAAGAAAGAAAAAAAAAAC